AGGGGGGGTTCATGTTGTACACAAACTTACTCCTGTAAAAACAGAGGGGCTGGTTCCATTAGACCCTTGATGTATTGATGCAGTTAGCCATTTACTATCCAAAACTTCATTTAAAGTAAGAAGTGGGGGGAAGTTTAATGTCATTTTAACTTAGTCCATTATTCACATGAAGCTAAAAAGAATTGTATAAAAAGACTCCTTCAACTCCATTGGCAATTGACATGAAACCTGTGCATGCATATTTGGAAAATGTGGCAGAGATAGAGACACAATAGGACAGGACTAACCTCATATATTGTCACAGCAGATTTAACAAATGCACGCCAGGTCTGTCTCCTTTCTATTTGTGATTTTGACGTCCTCAGTGCTTTTTCAGGAAGTGCAGCATCCATGTCCAGTAAATTAATTTTCAGCTGCCTCAAGATCTGAGAAGCTTCACCACCTACCACAGGCCTTAAAGCAGAATTTGAAACAATTAAGCATTTGACACTTTCCGACCTCGTACGTATTCCAGATTCTTTATGGCCCAACGTGTCACTCTGTTCCACCAATGCTTTTATTCTTCCTGGGGACTGTTGAGGCGGGATATCAGGCTTCACTATATGTTCTGTGTTGTGGTTGACATCAGGGCAAGGAATATTATCTTGAACTTGAACTAGCAATGAAGTGGGATCACTTAGATGAGAGAGGAGGGATGGAACAAAGGTTGGAGTTCCCTTAGAACCTATAAGGCCGATCTGTGCAACCACTTCCTTCATAGAAGAATCTTTGATTACAAATTTGGAGCAGATATCTTCCAAGTTATATGGACAATCAATTCCATCAAATTCATATCGAACAAACAGTGAATTTGACACTTCAAAACACTCACTTATAGGTCCCTGAGCTTTTGGTTTTTTTACCACACCATTCTCTTTGGGCCCTCCTAAACCTAAAGAATATATGCACTTAGCCTGGGCATGAAACTGAGGCTCCCCTTCAGAGACAAAGGTTTGATGGCAATGAATGCAATGGTGTTTGAATGATAACATTGGCTCTAAGCATTTACATCGGTAGATTCCATAATCTCTTTTAAATGCATTGTCCCCTTCCCTCTGCTGCTTGCAGAATTCTTCTGTGGCTTCCAACTCAACGGCAGAACCATACTTAACTCCCAATAGCCTGGTAGCTCTAGTTGCAAGATTATTACCACATAAAACTTCATCTTGGGGTGAACTAATTGACTTAGCAAACTGAGGATGATCAGTCCTCTTCTTTTGCCAACACAGAATGGACTCCTTCAACTGTCTTTCCGGTGGATAATCATCTTTCAAAAAATCTAAAACCTTTTGAATCTCAGAGTCAGTTTCATAACAAGTCCAGGAAGAATGAACTGAGATCTCTTCATAATGCTCATACCAGAAAGGACGCAGATCATTAGAACCACTTGGAGTTATGTTGTCTCCTGGCTGCAGTCCCATGTTCTCATTGACAACCATACACGGTTTTGCATCTGCATTTGATAGAGCCCAATACAATCTCCCTGCAGAATCAACGCCTAGAAACTCACTCTGACAAGACACTTTATGTAATTGTTTCTGCAAACTGGTAATGGAATTTTCCAGAAGTAAAATCTGGTTTCTCACAGGCTCAAGCCTGGGATTTAAAGCTTGTCCAAGATTATCGCCATCCATGTTTTCAGAAGCATGACGTATCTCTATGTCGTCGTGATTAGGAATATAAGGATGATTTCCTGCATGCATTTCAGAGATATCTTCATATGTGACATGTTTAGTCACTTCATTCAGGCCTTTAGTTTTTTCTTCATATGGAAGTACATTCATATTCTGGCCAATGGAAGAAGAATTGGTAGAAGAACTCCCATGTACTTGGCCATCAATATCCATTAGAGAAGCACCTTCTGTATCATCTGCATCCATGGTTTCAAGACATTTACCATTAACAAAATCACAAGTCTTTAAGCACTCAATCAGAAAAACATTTGGTGGATCAACACATCTTTGACCATCTGACTCAAAAATGTGCAGATATTAACAACGGAGTATTTTCACAAGGATTACCTGTAAACATATCATCATAATCATTTATTGCAACATCACATGAACCAACCATAAGAGAGCTATAATCAATGTGTTTGGCTAGAAAATTTTCTCTTTGTTTCAATGCCTTCAATTCCTTCAAAGCAAAACGCAATTCCTGATGCAACTTGACAGAGTCTTCTGCAGAGCGTTCTAGGTGCATGCGGAGGAGAGCTGAGTTCAACAACTCATCACAAAGGAACTTAAGCAGGGCAGTTCTCTGCATGCATTTGGAGGAAAAGGTTTAGATGATAGACTCCATCGATGACTGAGATATACAATGTGTCAAAAAAAAATATGGAATCAAATGAATGCTTTCGATCGGCCCAACCTACCACTCTAGCATCACAAGCAGTTGATGACTAAGTTCAAGGTAGGTTCTGGCATATATTACTATATTAGGTGCCAAAAAAGTAATATAATATTACTGAGTAAATAGCCAACCCATCATTTATGTTTTTGAGACATAGACATTATAGAATAAGGTGCAGTCACAATGGAGGCAAAAATATATACTTGTCCCAGTGCAATATGAGTTGAGATATAAACACAAGTTGCCTACTTCACATATAATGTCTGTTATCAGAAAATACAATGGCTATCCATATCCAGTTCTGAAATCAATGACCGTCATTCAATTTAGGCACATTATTTCATCATTCAGTTTTTAGCACCGTTCAACATCATTCATAAAACTTAAACTCCCTCGCCCCTAAAATATGAGTCACACTTTTTACTGATAAAATCATTATTACAGAATACCTCTAACCTCTTTATAAGGATGAATGTAGCAATTAAAAACAGAAACACATTCTCAAGTGAAAAATTAATTGATTTCAAGTTTTAGGGCAATAAAATTGTGTAACCACCTCTTGATGAGGATACAACACCAGACATTAAGCGTAACAAATAAAAAGCAAAAAAAAGAAAGCTACCTCCGCAATATTTAACTCCCAATACTCCTTTTTCCCCATTACAGTTGCCAGATCTTCCACTGGTTTTATATAGGCATCGGTTAATTCACCGTGATGTTTTTCCGGCTGTTGGTGGAGAGCTGCAGTCTTTGTGTATGCGTCTGAAACTATATTAACATTTGCAACACATGATGGGCAATACCAGTTCCCACTGGGAATCCGAGCAAGCGGGGGACTCAAGCAATATGTGTGATACTCAGCATCACATGTATCACATAATAAAACACTTTTATCATCATTGTCAACACCGCATACTTTACAAACTCCATCCTCCCATGGGGCTTTAGGAATTTCTTCACAGGAAATAATCTCCTTTATCATCTTCTCTAAACTGGCTTCCATAGAATGCTGTTTCCTACAGTTGGCCAACTTCTGGTGGAGAGTTACAACCTATGCCAAATTACACAAATGAATAGATGTCATTCTTAACTGTATATCTAACAAAGTAACAGCTATAGTTTGATCATTTCCAATCATGTGGTTTTGATTGATTGGAAATTTTCAGTAAAACAAAAAAATAAAAGCAACAAAAATGCACTTGGGAAAAATTATCCAGAAACCACCATCTCAGATCCCAATAAAATCACCAACATGGAAAATAAAACACTCCATGCAAGACAAAATTGCTGCATTATACAAAGCAATATGTCAGAGAAGTCCAACTATGATTTAATGACATCTCTACCTATCATTGCAGTCTAGTTAGACAACTTTTATATACACAAGTGCATTCTATAATTCCTTAGATTTGCAACTCTCTTGACGATCCAATATTTTTATTCTCAGGCAAATACAATTATAAGGTTACCATTTTACTATTTAGTAAGAAGATCTGAAAGCATTTAATCTCGGGTGGTGAGGGCATATTAGTAGGACTGTAGGAGCATTAACATCTGAAATTTGATGCCAATAAAAAGGTATATCTTTCTATTCTCCCAAAAATCAATCAATGTGATGAAGAGAAAAGACAGTTTTTTTATCGTAGTATATTATTCTATTGACAGAATGTGAAGCACATGAAATAAGAAGAAAGCATGCAGAGAGAGAGAGAGAGTCTGCTTACTTCCTTTTCATACAAAGCATTGAAATCATTTGCCAAGTTTTCTGCTAATTGAAGCAACTCTGGTTGCTCTTTAAATGCAAGAAAGACATTGTTCCACACCTAGAAATTACAGAAAAACTTTTTAAAAGTAAATTGGCAGCCAAGAAATAATAATCAATGCACCCTCACACTAGCAAATGCTCGAGTGCTTTATGCATATTATTCAGTTTAAAATTGATTTGACAGCACTAATTTAGGTAGCTGTTGTCATTCAATAATTTGTCTAGTGCTATATTTAGAAGTACAGAATAAGAAAAATAACATTGACTCGTAAAGGCAAGCTTAATGAACCAGTAACTTCATGGAAAATGTTTGTACTTAAAGCATGAATCCTTTAAAACCTTTATAAAATCAGATACAAAAAAATGACATGTGAAGGGAAAATAGACTTGTTAAATTTAGGATTGTGTGTGGAAAACTGGATTGGGCAATAAGACACTTGGGTTAAACCATGTTGGGCGAATTGAGTGTGGAGGCTCGACCAGGAAGGGCAGCCGCCCCTAGTCTTGGTTCGACCCATATGGCAGTAAATTAGGTTTTTAATTTAGCCGGCCCTAATTCTCTATGTGGGCTTGGGCCTAACTTGGGGATTAAGTTTTTAACCCTAGTTTAGTCTTCATAAATAGCGATCTCTGTACTTGTAATTCTTTGAGCACCTGGATAATAAAAACCCTAGTTGAAAAGTGTATTAGGTCAGCCGACCGAACCACTATAAATCTTGTGTTCCGTTTTCTCCGTTTTGATTTCTGTTTTGTGTGTGTTCTTGTTTGGTTGTGGTTTGCTATTCAGTATTCATAGATACCCCAACAAACCACATTAAAAGATTGAATCCAATCGATTAGTTAGTTCAACTCAAGATCTTATATACCGATTATTTTCTTCACACTTTTCCGATGTGGGATACTCTTAACACTCCCCCTCAAGTGGACAACCGGGCCATTTTGAATCTAACCGGTTGACCACTTGCAAATGAACTCCCATTCCCTTGACTTTTTTTGAGCGCCAACACCTAAAGGACCACGAGCCGCTGGGTATGGACTTCCAGACGAGCAATCGTGTTAAACGGGCCACAGGCGGTTGAGTACATACTCCATACGGACAACTGGGCTAAAGACTAACGGGCCGCTAGGAATGAATGTCTAGACGGACACCTTGACAAACGAGGTGGGCCAAAACCTGCTCCGATACCATGTTAGAATTTGGGATAGGTGTGGAAAACTGGATTAGGCTATAAGACACTTGGGCTGAACCACATTAAAAGATTGAATCCAATCGATTAGTTAGTTCAACTCAAGATCTTATATACCGATTATTTTCTTCACACTTTTCCGATGTGGGATACTCTTAACAAGACTCAACAAATTAAACTGGCAAGTGGCAATAGACTGAATAAAGTAATAGAATCTAAGCAGACAAACATTTGGAAACCATTGCAAACATACCTCACATACATCCTCATAGAAAGCCATATGCATTCCATCATAAGCATTTGCTGCCAATCTCTGATCAATGGTTCTAAAATCAAGAGGACGTGAAACCATTCCTGGAGACCCAATAGTCCCACCGTCACTGTTGTAACTTGATATCCTCTTGCCTAGCAAATTGCAGCAAACCTTTCTTTGATCAGCAGCCATTGCTTTCCGCAGAATAAGCCGGCACTGCTTCATCATTAAGCCGGAGATTGAGATGAACTTTTTCTTTTTCTCATTAACGGGCATATGAGGACTATATTCACCATTTGCTCTCTCAAGAACAGATAGGACAGCTCTCTGTTTCAAGACCAGAAACCAGTGAGGATTTCAAGCCATTGGATGTGAGGATAGAGCATACAAAAAAAGCATTGGGCCTTTTGTGTGTGATGAAAAGCTTATAGACTATTAGAATTCTTGAACTGAATGAGTTGAATGTAGTGAAAAAATCCCTATTCTGTATCTTTCCTTTTTCTAGAATAATGAAATGAGTTGATAAAGTAATAAACGAATGTGCATCTCACACTAGAAGTATAATGGTCTATAAGTTTTTTGTTTCATTTTGAAAGATCTTGAAAGGAAAAGATATGTATCTTTCAGTTGGTTCTATGCTTGATCTTATAGAACCCGATGCACTATTGGGATCGCTTGAATCTGAGCAAGAAGACTGCCTTGTCCAACAAAAGTGCATGACTACATGCTAGCCTATATATAAGAAACGACTCCTGATGGATTTGTATATCTATCGCAATGAGTGTAACGACTAACTAAAGGAATTCATAAACGAATATTCTCTATTCCATATTCGTTTTTTATGAGTTGTCCCTATACTAAATCATTTCTTTTTCTAAGATCAAGTGAAATGAACTTCATAGCTTGAAAAAGACCTTGTCCATTAAACTAGAAACTACTAGGATCCGCACTTCCCTAGCCTTTTTCCACATTAAACGGAAATGCTTTCTTTTCCTAAGAAGTCTAGGCGAGCTCTAGAAGGTCTTACCCCAATTCTTGCCCGGGTGATGCCTCAATATTATACCAGAATTGTGAAAAAAACTTTTGAGTAGGGGCAAAGTATGCGTACACCCACCCTCCCGAGACCCTACACTTGTGTGATCCAACTGGGCTGTTGTTGTTGTAATTGTGAAGAAAACTCAAAACTCTTATGTTAAAAGGAGAATGGTTCAAGTGGTATGGTATGATAAATTGTTCAGAAGGGGATCCCCGACAGCTTCAGAAATGGCAGCAGTGGTATCAGATAGTTGAGGGAGGCTGCTGTTCTAATTTTGTTTAGAGGAATCATTTCTATCAAAACATAGATGTGATTCCAAATGGATCATTTCTCAGCTCAACGATATATTGTATATGAAGCAGTAGCAATTTGATGTGAATAAATGAAGGGAAAAAAACTCAATTTGATATAAACTATTATGAATAAAAGCCACAGAGCTGTTCTGCCTGTTCATGTCCTAAAGATTAAAGTCCAACTGTAAGCTGGATATTTCCTAACAAAAGCTCTGAATAGTTCCTTTCATTTCTGTTCTCAAAACATAGAGTTGTGAAACATAAAAGAACATCTAATCTTTAAAAACTGAAGGCAAAAAATATGCAATTTCCACAATAAACTACCAATGAAGTAACTCCAATCCTTCATCGTGAATCAAGCAGAAAAGAAAGCTTGCTACCTTTGTAGGCCCAGAGGCATTTCCCTTGTACACTTCCTTGCTAATAGAATGCTCTAAGATCTTTCTCGCCCATTCTGGTGGACTTCCCTCCATTGCATTAAAGATGCACCTCTTTATTCTTGCACCTACATTTGTGGGCAGCTTCCTGGCAGGCTCAAGGGCTTGAACCCAATCTGGAACACTTGCACTCACTGTAGCATGCTCTTCCAAGCATTTCATGTCAATATCATCATCATCATCTACAGCTAGACGGTCGCTCTCTTTATCCAATGAACCAAAAATTCTCTTCATAGCCTCTGCTAGGAACTGATAAGAAAACAAATTGATCCATCATAATCTACAAGACTAAAAGCCTCAACCAGGCAACTTGAGTATACAAAAGTTGAATCACATGCACAACGCTCCTAAACCACATGAATCTGACAGAGATATACACAGCCACATCCAACATTCAGAGACGAAAATCCTATTGAACTAAACCCAGTCAACAGGAGAGTGATTGGCAGCTATCCCTCAAAACAGGTAGAACGATGTGTTAATGTCCGTACACCATGGGAATTTATTTTAAAATTATAAAAGAGATCAAAGATCTATTATATGATTTGTGAAGAGCATTAGCAAGAACAGAAAAATATTCCCACAATCTGAACATAAGAACCTCTGTTTTTATCCTATGGAACAGTCAATGGTGCAAAATAGGATGATTACATATACAAAGACAACACAACAACAACAACCCAGTTGAATCCCACAAGAGTAGGGTCTGGGGAGGGTGTGTGTACGCAGACCTTACCCCTACTCGAAAGTAGAGAGGCTGTTTCCAAAGAGACCCCCGGCTCAACGTCGAAAGTTGCATTGCTTGACTAACTGCTACTTCATTAATTAAAGAAGCGCAGACAGTTTAGAGATCTATTTTGATTTATTCCATCACACTCCAAAGCCAAAAAATGGTGAAATTTTGGCTCCATCGGAGATGATGGAAAAGCAGATATTAATGTCAAGGAACCCACTCAACCAAAAGCTCAAGCTTGTGGTTGTGGCCCAGAAATGATTGTTATATATACTCTAACACGCCCCCTCACGTGCAGGCGTGACCTCTTTGAGCCTTGCACGTGAAACCTTGATTTTTTTAACTGGGTGGCGGTGAGTTTCGAACTCGTGACCTCTTGGTCATCAAGGCTCCGATACCATGTCAAGGAACCCACTCAACCAAAAGCTCAAGCTTGTGGTTGTGGCCCAGGAATGATTGTTATATATACTCTAACAATTAAATTCACCTACATTCTTACCCATGCATCTGCTTCTATTCCTGCTACACCAGTCAAAGAGCCACATGATGTACCACCATCGCCTTGTAAACATCGGAATATTTGTGCAGTATCATGAGTGGTAGTTTCTGTTGAGTCGATGTGCCCATTCACTGACAACATCGATAGAGCGTATCTCCGAGACAATTCTGGCCATGTTAGTTCATTACATGGAAGCATAGGTAGTTTGTTTCTTTTGGAAGTAGTATCATAGTCCAAATCCTTCTTTCTCCCACGCTTTTTGGGTTCACTAATATCAAAATTCAGATAGCCAACTGCTGCAACTTTTGTTTGAAGATCACTTATCAGAATTTGCAACATAGAGATAACAGCCATAGGCAAGGCAGAATCTGAGCATTTGCTAGACTTAATCAACTGTAGCTCCATTGGAAAACCTTTCTCCATCAATTTTGTTTCCTTTTTGACAACTGAATCTGGATTTTCGATATCTACTTCTGGACCATAACTGGAACTTGATCCTGAAATGTGTCCTTTGGTGCCAGCAATCTCGTTTTGAATTAGAAATGGAGTTTCATGGATTTCCCCTTCAACCTTCTTGAGAAAAAGCGCTCCATGATGCCATCGATTCATTAGTTCTCCCTCAATATTTTCAAATGTTAGAGGCTCTTTTAGACCTAACAATTTGTAGAAGCGCCAAAAAAACTCGAATACCTAAAGTGCAACAAAAGAAAAGAATTGTACAGGCTTCCAGATATTTACCTTGGTCTGAAGAGGGCTAACCCATTATGAGTGTTCATATTAAATTATCAAAAATCATATATTTGAAATGCTACTTCTAACCTGAATTGCATCCCCAAGAAAGAGGGAAGGCATTGTGGTGCTAAAAGACCTCCCACGAGGAAGAGAGCAGGTATCTGACAGGTCCTCATTAATCCTTCTAATACTCACTTCATTAAAACTTCGTAAACCAAGTGGTGTGGATCTACCATCTTTGTTCTCAGCTTCTATAGCTCTAACCTCTAGGAGACCATTTCCAACAGTAATGGATGAAGAGAATGAACTCCTCTTATTCAAAGGAACATAGCCAAAAATGTCTCTGATCTCCTGCTTTTGCTCTATGATTTCTTGTACAAATTCAGCATCAAGGCCAAACCTGTCTTGATCTAGCCACTTCAGTAACTCTTCAGCCACCACTTCATGCTCCATGTCAGCTTGAATAAGATGAGGAATGTTGAGGTTGTATGGAAAACCATAAAAATGATCTAAAGGTGTATATTTTAATGCAACTTCTCCATTTGTCTGGTCTAAAGCATGATTCCAGAAGAGCTTAAGAGCACCTATATGGGTATATACTTCACGGAAAACATTCAGGATTTTATTGGACATTGTTCTCCATGCCAAAGCAGGAGAGCATGCTTCAACAGAGAATATGTCAGCATCACACATAAATGGTGAACAGTCAGAAAAAGAACCCTGACATCTTTTACAAAATGAATTTCTCTCGACCGGTATGGCACATGATCCTTGCATGTTCGAATGATCATTGGAACTATGGCCAAGACAGGATAAAACATCCTTTTCCAAGGGAGCCGGTGCTTCTTCAAGCATTGAATATATGTTCAAGTCATCCATAGACTGGGAGGGCAAAACATAACTTCTCTCATTTGTCCTATCATGTTTGGATTGATATAGGATTTTCATTGGATCTGGAATAGGTAATGTGGAGCATGGACTCCTTGTGACTTTAAACAGTGGCCCAGAGTCACCTCCATCCAGTACATGGCATGTGAAAAGTGATCCCGTGACCTTATCATGCCAGCAGGAACTATAACCCACAGGCCAAATCTGATTCTCACAATGATAAGAGTGTCTAGCATCAACTTTTCCAACCGAGAGAACATAGAAATCTCCATATTGAATAGGGAGTCCATTCTGTAAAAATACAAATACTCATTTAATCAGCCATCAACAGGACTGCTAAAAAAAGGTTTGTGCATGAGAGAAATCATATGAAGGCAATGAACACGGGCACAGTATAAGACTAACATCATATTTTCCAGTTCCACATTGTGAAGGCATGTTAGCTATAATTGATTTAACATAACTGTCAACTTCTGAAACTGACCATAATCTTTTCCCATCTGGAGAAACATAAACTGGGCATAGCAATCCTGTGACAGAGTTATGGTCAAATTCCACGCGCCACCCTTCTGCAAGCAACTCATTTTTTCCCTTAAGATACTCTTTAAGGTCTTGCAAGTATGTTGCGCTCTGATCCTTGGTAGATGATCCCATGGTTGTATTATTTTCTTCAGTGAGGCCTTTCGAACTGGTACCTACAGCCCCAGAACTTGGCTGCACAAACTGGGGCTTCAATGAATCAGTTGCTAGTTGAGATCCAAAACTGTTACAAAAAAAGCAACATGTTCGTAAGTAGACCAAGCATATTAAAATGATTAATATCATCACCTGGAATGTGTTTTTCCTAATATCAAAATCATTGAAGCATGAAATACTTGTATAAATGCAGTATTATTTGTCTCAAATAAAGAAGTACAGAAGCAAAACTAAATGGGATCCATTTCCTTACCTGTTACAGCATTCTCCATTTGCATCACCCTGAGGCAATCCACCATTCACATCTAATGCAAAACCAGTGCCCAGGCGCCTCCTTTTGTTCCTCCATCCCAAATGCCAATGATTACTCCGCCTTCCACCGCCTGAGCACTTCCTGCACATCCATTCCTCCAATTTAGATGCCTCTACCTCCGTCATCCCCAAGCAATGGACATGAAACCCTCGCTCACAGCCGTCACAAACCACCACGCAACCCTCTGCTTCCGGCCTGCCGCACGCCTCACACATTGCCGCACCGTTCAACTCCCGTGGGAGCTCTGCTGGAGAGCCGGAAGGCAATATGGAGATTGCGTGGAAGCTTTTAACAAGCAACTCGGCGCTTCTGGACATAATTAGGTTCTCAGATGACGAAACCCCCGGGGGGACTTCACGCCGATTGATTGCGAGATCGGAGCTCGCCGTCTCTGAGTTCGTGCGAGGTGAATCTCTGTGTTCCATCGTCGTCTCCATCTTGCATCTGTCAACTCTGCATCAAACGAGCAACGATCGAAAAAATATACTGTATAGATGTATCGATGAAGCTACTGGAAGAATGATAACAGAATTTGTGTGTGCGAGAAAAAAAGAGGGAAGGAGTTCGTTACGATTGCGCTTTTTGCTACGCAATAAACCGCCGCCCAAATCTACGGGATCCCAAGAGTCCGCAAGGAGTTGCGACTTCCTGCGAAAGAAGACTTCAAAGCTGGTTCCCATGTTACAGTTTTGGGCTGAGTTCCGTCCATGGGCTTGGTCTGTGTTATTAATGGGCTTGTTTGTTTGTAATTAGTCACAACCGTGGGTTTGGTAATTAATACTTCTTCTATCTCAATTTATTATTTACAGAATTAAACTATATTGATTATTTATAGAATCAAACTTTAATCACATTTTTTATTTATTTTTGTTTTCCATTGAGAAAATAATATAGTTTTGTCACTTATTATCTTATAGAATTTTTGATGTAATTTCTAAATATATCCCAAAAATAAATTCCTATTTATGTTGACTTTTCAAAAATATCCTTGATATGATGGGTAAAAGTAGGATGTGATATTTAGATTATTAGTAAAAAGGTATGATGTGACAAATAGCCTTAGAATTAATAGAAGTAAAAGTGAGTTTTTAATAAAAATGCAAAGAATTGTGTGGGATAAGTAAAAAAGGGAAAAGAATGTTTGGCACGAAAGGAGTAAATTTTAGAGTAAATTCTCAAAATAGTTCTTTTTAATCAGATTTTTCTTAAATTATTTCTCAATAAATAATAATTACCAACATAATCCTTTGTAATTAATTGAAAAATATTCCTTAAATAATCTTCTGTCAAAAATATCTATTAAATGACAGTTAAATATATTTTTTTGTTCATTGTTCCCTAAATTCCTTCATCAGAAAAGAGAAAAATGAAAATAAAGAGGGGAAAAGAAGACAATGAGCAAAAAATACCGAGAAACAAAAAGGAGTTGAGAGAAAAAGGCGCCTCACCTTTTCATTTATTACTCATTATTTTTATTTGTCTCAAAAAAATTAATTTTATTTTTCATTTTTCAAAATTTTTATAAAAATTTGTAAGGTCAAATATTTTAAAGAAAAAACCAAACTAGGAGTAAAAAAAAATAATAACAACAATAATAATAAATTACAAATCAACAATAAGAATGAGAAAAATATGAAAAATACACTTAAATAAAATCTTAAAGTTCTTTTAGGTTTTTCGATGTCTTCTAGTTTTTTTCGTTTCTTTCAGTGTCTTTCAATTTTTTCTATTTTTTCCAGTTCTTTATAATTTTTCTAGTTTCTTTTAATTTCTTTTAGTTCATTCAGTTTCATCTAATTTCTTCTAATTCCTTTCCGTTTCTTCCAATATTTTGTTCTTTTTTTCCAACCCTAAGAAACATGCCCTAAAACTAAATGCTAGACGGTAGGGCACATAATTAAAAAAATAAAAAAATTAAAGTATTTATTTGGGAATAATATCTTCAATTAGCATTATTATCTTAGATTAGTATTAATGACAAAAAATGAGTTTCTATGAAAACACTAAGACCTCATTTGACATGAGTATTAGGAATGGCTATCTAACAATAACATTTAGCGTTAGTATTCTCAAAATTAATTAACACCATTAAAATTTTATCCAAAATATTAACGCTAATAAAAAATGTTGTTTCAAAAAAAGACCTAAAAAAAGGGTGTTAGGAAATACTTTTTTTCAAAACGGCAATAACCAAAAAAGCATTTGAATTTTATTAAAAATCAAACTTAATTAACATTTGAGAATAATATATTTTAGATAAATTTTTGATGAAAAAATTAATATTGTATGAAAACACTATTTAAAGGAGGACGGGAAATATCTTTTCCAAAACAATAATTACCAAACAATTTTTTTTTGCAAAACATATTCATTTCATATTCAACAATTGATCCTTCATAATACGATATTTTCTATATTTAGTTATTTAGTATCAAATACTGGTCACATGGTCCTTCTTTTTTAAGTATTTTTCACAAATAGTCATTTTTGACCTTGTCATATTCGTGTTGATTTGAAGGTTAAAAGTATAATTTAACATCAACATTATGTTCAGTGACATATTCTGATGTCGGGTAGACAGAGAATACAACAAGAATGACTATGATTGTGGACTAAGATTCTAACAAAAGACGACATGTATATACTATTGTTGGAGTAGAAAATCACGGTAAATCACAAACAACACATCACGAGTGGCCTTTGGGATTATGTATGAAAAGATCTGAAGAATGATATATGAATATTAAGAAATTACACTTTTAGTCATCAATTTAACACCAACATGAAAAAAAATAAAAAAATGATTATTCCTAGAAAGACACCTATAAAAGAAAGACCACTTAGGTAATATTTGACAATAGAGAACTGAATAAGAAAAACTCATTCTATATGAAGAATCAACTATAAAATCTAATATATATATAAAAGAAGGATCAAAATTGAGAATCCAATTTTCCCGCCTAAATCTGAGATCTACGGCCCAATTTCACTCTGAAAAAACTGAACAAATCCTGGCCACAAGTAATAATCAAGGGCCCAATTTCAATTTTGTAAAAAAATTGAAAGATCCTAACCATTGATTTCATTTCGATTCCAAAAGCAGTTCCAGACTTATAACCGCAGACCTCCACTAGCATATGAAAACTACCCATCTGCGACGCTTCCTTCGGAAAAGCTTATCTCCATCGCATAACTCCATCATCGATCCCTGGGATCTGCATCCAACTCTCTCCATCGCACATCACCGTCAATCAGAGGTCAACTGCCGACCTCAATCGGCATCCTGCTCCCCTGGCAACAACAGTTGCATATCTTTTAACCCGGGAGCGCGCTTCTAACCCAATCGCCGACAACAAACCCATCGTTTGATGAAGAAGAAGACGGTGGCAAACCTAGCGATAGCAACGACCTGCTCTTAAGATTAAGATGAAGGATATCTTCGGTGTCTAGCATCAGAGAATTTGTAAGTCGATCTTCTTTAAAATTTTGCTTTTCTTAAGTTGAGTTTCTTAATTTTTTTAACACAATTTACTTTAATTTCGAAATTTTGGTTTAAGATCTAGGCTGGTTTGGTTGAATATTCATGTTGATTCATGTTCCTCAAAGTTATTATTTGTTTAAAAT